CCATTATATCAAAGCGAAAAGATTCTAACAGAAGTACAGCCGCCACTAAAATGAAGGAAGAAGCTATACACTCCCTCTCCTCCCATTAATTGCAGAGTTTGTACGGTATGGGTGCGTTCAAGGCTGGTACGTTGCTATCGCTTACACCACAAAATCGTCTGACGTCTCCTACAGGACCGTTCATCTGACTAGAGCTCGAGTAAATGATGAGGGGTCTGATAGCGATCATTGCGATTATCACCCGTATAAAAGCGGTCAGCCGTGGTAGGTACCATTCGATCGTCACAGGAAACAATGCAATTCGTCGCCCTTTTCGTCTTCATAGCAGTCATTAACGGCAACCGTGCTTTCAATCGGAATCAAGAAAGCACAATTGAAACACCCGCACCACCACGAACAGAAGCACCTACTCCGGCGCCGCCTCCTCCGCCGCCGCCTCCGCCTCCACCGCCTCCGCCTCCGCCTCCGCCTCCTCCGCCGCCGCCTCCTCCGCCACCGCCTCCTCCGCCATCCCAGGAAGTCGTTCCTCCCGAAGAAGACAAACAGCCCGTGGAGACATCAACGGCGAGCGAGTCTCGCGAAGACACCCGACCAGTCGAGGAACCCTTCGGGCCAGGTTGGTTTGCTCTTGTCGATCCATTTCGTTGGTTGTGTATGCCGATATTACAGATGACTTTCTGGACGATTTCGGAAAGCAGTTTATAGGATACACATTCAAGGAACTGCAAAGGGCTCCTATCGACTCGCCACAGAAAGATGTAAGGACTTTTGCGAAAGAAATTAACAGAAGCTTTTTGCGCTAGTCGTGACAAATATGCGGGCTCACTTGAAATATATGCTCGATGTTATGTATCGTATTTTTTATTGTCAGCCCGAATTTTATGTACGTGGACTGGGTGTACGTGGACTGGAAGATGAACTGGGAGGTCTATATCTCAAATACCTTGAATATCAGGTGCAGTATGAGAGTACAGGACGGTGCCACGGTTGCATTGTCACCATGGTGAGTATTAAAGCTTTCGAGAGCGAACCGCACTTTTGATTTCAATTTTCTTCTGCCGATGAAACTTTGCAATGAATAACCAATTTAGGCGCTTGCTGAAATGCGCGGTCATGCAGACCATTGGAGAGACAGACGCAGTGTGGCTCATGCGTGCGTGAATTAATTTTTCGTTTCGATCGTTGCACTACAATAAATACATTTCAGCACCGACAAACTCTTATTTCAGGCTGAGCTTTCTTTGGAAAGGGACCCCGGATGATGAAAAGCAGTTCATTCTCGAAAATTTCCCCGCTTTCAAACTTGTAGATGAATATGCTGCTAAACAACCGTAATAAAGCTCTTTTTTCGCAATCCGGGAGCAAATGCTTCGAATTTCAACGGCTTTCTTTCGCAGCGGATTAGCACTGTCTTGTCTTCGCTCAGCCGTACCCAGAGAGGAGGGGAAAAGTCAAGTTAGTGGTTCTAACTGATAGAAACATGTTGAAGCGGCATCGCAACAGGAAAGGATGGTTGGTTGAAGTGGGAGAAGTTCGAAATAAGATGTATAGTCTGGTTCGGTAGCAATGAAGGGGCGTGTTAGGAGGGGTGTGTTTGGCACGATGCCAAATCCATTTTCCCCCCGTCATTTGAAGCGAACAAGCGGCAAGGCTGTATCATATCGTTCGTGTCGCTCTTCCTACCGATTGTTGTCGCATAGCCCCCGCAGCAAGTGGCTCAGAACGGGTTAACGACGTGGCATACTCATACTGCCTGACACGCCCCTCCATCCGCAGCAACTAGAGTACAAACGGATGCGCCTCTTGGAGCTGGTTACGAACCTATCCTACTATTATAATCCGCTAAGTTTGTCTATTGGTGTGTGTGTGTGTGTGTGTGTGTGTTTTGCACCAGCGAATTTCATAAAGTTCTTCAAAGGGGCGGAGACACGCTCAACGATAAGTGAGTATAGGGGCGAGGCAGGAACATTATTGCAGGTGCAGGAAAACTGATAAGAGCTGATAAGATACCGCAGGGGGTCTTAGAAGGGGAGGGTCACCAAATTCATAGCGTCGGCCAGAGTAACGACCGGACGTTGGATCCAAGTAGCAACATAGGGGGCAGGATGGGAACATTATTGGTGGGTGGCAGGAAGTGATAACCGCTGATAAGATACCATGAGAAGCCTTAAAAAGAGTGGGTTACCAAACTCATAACACCGGCCAGAGTAACGGCCGGGCGTTGGATCCAAGTAGAGAGATAGGGGGCAGGATGGGAACATTTTCGGTGGGTGGCAGGAACTGATAAGAGCTGATAAGATAGCACAGGGGTTCTAGAAGGGGAGGGTCACCAAATTCATAGCACCGATAAGGTTCCCATCCTGCCCCCTATCTTACTTCGTGGAAGCGACACCTTACCGTCGCAGAGCAACGACGGGACCTTGGATCCAAGTAGTAAGACAGAGGGCAGGATGGGAACATTATTGGTGGGTGGCAGGCAGTGATAACAGCTGATAAGATACCATAAGAAACCAAAGGCCTTACAAAGGGAAGCTCATCAGCATTATAAATTTGCGCCACAGCGACGGTAAGGTGTCGTTTCCACGAAGTAAGATAGGGGGCAGGATGGGAACCTTATCGGTGGGTGGCAGGACGTTATAACAGCTGATAGAACAGCCCTTAACAACACGAGTCGTAGCAACACTGGGAACTACCCTCCGGCGGAACCACACAATGTTTATGAGAAAGCTTTTATAAAGTCAAAAAATCATTCGATAAGACGTATGAATTGGAACATTTTGACTGTCGGTTTGCTGCTCAGGGTCTCTTTTGTTCGTCGGGTACGAGTAGTGTTGAATACACGATCTTCAAACGAAAGAATAGCTTCACGTGCACCAGGCCACGAGTGAGGTCCCTGCAAAATCATCATTATGGTTGTGCATCGGTTGGGAGATCCGCGTTGCGGTGCCGCGGCAAAAAAGGCATTGCAAGTGGGGCTAAGGTGTTAATGTACCCCAGCCAGATACTTGGTCGACTGTAATTTACCGTCAGTGCTAAGCAGCCATCAATTTCTGAGTGAGATAGAACTTCCAGCAGGGTGAACCACTTAAAACTTCACTTCGAGAAGGGTTAACCACTCGTCATTTATGAAAAATTAATATGTCCAAAATGGCTTGCCCAACGCTGAACTTCCTCCCTTCTTCAAAATCGTGGATTACTATTGTGGCCACCGTACACCAACCCAAAACTACAGGCTGACCATCTGGAGACACATAGTACTCTCCCAGTTTCGCGCCGCAACGTGGATCTCCAAAACGTCTCCAGGAGTCGCTCAACAGAGAAAAATTACCGATCTGTGTCCTACCTGTAATCTGTATTGATAAGGTACAAGTCCATGGAAGCACAAAGCATTGGCAAGTCGAGGATCGTAGAAAAAGCGCCAGAAAACCGAAGGACCACATCGAAGAAGATCCGCTAATTCTTCCATTATTTCGACGTAATGAACCTACAAATAGAAATACGTGCAAAAACAAGCAAGTGACATCCTTCACTGGGGAAATTACGTCAAAAAAACCTGCTCACGCCCACTTCCTTCATGTCTGCGCCCTCCACTGCCTTAGCCTATCTTCAAGGGGCACTGTCTTGGTGAGGAGACGTAGGCAGAAAGTATTTGTGGACTGGTTTCGCTGTCTTCTTTCTCAAGGAGGAAAAAAGTGTGAACGCACCTGAATTGTATGTCTTCTGCTCGGAATGAACTCTTTTGCCATTATCTCGTGCTTGCGCTTTATATCTCTTTCCATCCGTTCCTTGGATGGTAGTTTGATTCTTCCCTAAAACCCATTCATATTGGCACGCTGCAAGAAAAATGCGGATTCTTTTCAAGGCACATTCCACTTTAGCCATGTGGGTGGAGACATGCAGTCATCCGCCGTTCGACAAGCGTGCATAGTATAGAGAAGGCTGATTGAAATGTGGCCGCCGTGGTTCACACATGAAATTGTGAGTGCTAGTTAACCAGGGCAATTCGTTCGTTGGAGATTCCCAGCGAGGGGAAAGTGGGGAGGGAAATTTGTTGGCCGCTGGAGGGAGAGGAGGGTGGCACTTGCTTTTGTGGAGAGTGTTTTCGGTCAATGACTTTTCGATATCCCTCTCCTCCCCTTGCTTGACGCCAGCTTTCGTCACGGAGAAACGGGAAAAATTGTAAGAAAAACTTCAGAGCAAGGCTAGGATGTTGGGAGATGGCTCGGGGGATGAGGAATGAGGATCGCACTAAAGGAGTAAGTTTTGAGGCGGAGGGGGTCGTCTTCTTAAAGTTTTCTGTTCAGCGGCAGTATGCACTCGAGTGAAGAACCAAGGTGAGTGTTAAACATGCCGGCTTCTGATTTTGGGCTCTGTACGTGTTTCGGTTCATTTCAGGTGACGTCACCGACAATTAGACAGGACAAAACGATACACCCAAATGATTTTCTTGGGTGTTTTTAGCATGGTAACCTTAGGTCAACGTTGTGTAGAGGCGGGAGTGTGCCCCAAAACGCGGCGCGTCCTCAAGAAGGGGCGGGGCCCAAAACAATCGTAAGCCCCTAGCGTGCTTGCCACGCGCTTTTAGGCGGCAAAACACGGTACACCCTGCATAGCTGCATACCTACCCCCCCCCTCCTCAGTTGTGAAATATGCCTTCAAAAATCCACCGTAAATAAGTGAAGCATCATTTGAAACGTACATTGAGAGCTGCAACGAATACACGTGTTTGCATCTCAGATATAGGCATAATGGAACCTGTAGGCTGGATCAGTCCGATGACGGCGAGCGTGTTCTGAAATAAACGACACGATCGATTAACAACCGTAATAAAGGAAAATATTGTAGTAAACACTATCTACTGTAGTTCTAATAAGAAACATCACCCATATAACATTTGAAAGTAACCTCATCTGGCTGATTTTTTGCCTGAAAGGGGCTCAAAAGAACTGTGCACAACAAAGGATCACATCACATTCTTGTGCCAACGGGAAGAGGAGCTGTTCCCATTATGAAAATTCTAACGAATGGCGTAATCGCAAAGATCAAGCTAACGTTCAGGCAGTTCATTAAGCTGCATTAGAGCCACAGTTCACGTTGACCGCATAGGCGGAGGCAGACAGCCATCCTGCTCTCCTCATTGGTGAGCTCCTCATAATTAAACGAAGAAGGGCGTACCCTCCGGGTACAACTGTTGAATGTTGTCGTTCATACAGGACATAGCCCCAAACAGAACCCTTCCAGGTGCGATACTGCTCGCTATAGCATCTTCCCAGTCCAAAGTAAGACAACGAAGAATGTGGCCGAGTCAAAGGTGTGCGTAAGGATTTCCGTAGTTCTTCAGCTTCAGCAACGTTCCCGGCTACCCCACACTTGCTAGTAGCTATCTCCCGACTGAGCGTTCTGAAGTCGAAGGTGAGCGTCAGACTTCGTTCTAGAGAGGATTTCTCGAAGTAGAGGAAAGCTAGGACATGAGCTAAAGTATTCCTCGATGGCCAATTGATGCTTTCCCAAGCAGCTTCGCGTCTAAGCAATCGCCGATTAGAGGAATCCCGTGCGGAATTGATTGCGTTTTATTGGAGTTGTTCGGTTGCGAGGAGAAACACTCAGCACTTTCGCGAGTTCTTTTTGCTAGTTCATGTCAACGAACATATCCGCTTTGGTGAGACTTGTCAAGCTGCAAAAGGACAGAAGTGAGCTACTTCGGTTACAAAATTTCGGGGGTCCTGAACGAACAGGCCGCTCCAGAAAGCTCTGTGGCATGTCTGCTGGCTTTGTCATTTGGTGCCCCCACAAACCCACGCGCCGACGTTTGTCTATTTGTTCGAAAAGTATTATAGGACTATGCATTCGGTTTGCTGTTGAAGCCTCTGAGTATAAAAGCCAGGACTTTCTTTCCACACAACTACCACAATTGTTTCACGATAGACTGATACTACCTTGGAGCCTAACTATTGGAGGATACATGTATTTGTACAATCGACGTGATTTTCTTTGACCGAGTATGAGTTGACCTTCTCATATAAGTGGAATCAATGGAAACCAAGTTTAGGCACAAATCACTGCAAACTCAAGGTAGTGAGTGATGATGAAAATGACATTTGTGAACACTGTTGCAGGCACGTCTACGTGGTGGGAAAAAAAAAAAAAATAGGTCACCCCCCCCTTTTCCTCCTCAAAACCTGCTATTCATGTTGGACCGACACCTATCCCATCTATCACATGGTTTCTGACATATTCCCAACGAGCATACAGTTTGTTCCTGGTTTTCCCAAATTTCTCATGTTTCCCCAAAAAAATTACTGCCGAGCAGGAAGGGGTGGGAAAGCGGTTGGGAAAATTGAACAAAGTAATTGAAATAAGAAAACTTGAAGAGTGTGCACAAAGGCGAACGAACACCGAAACCCCCCCCCACAACTCCTCTAGCAACGAAAGCCCCCCCTCCCCACCTCCCGATGAATCGTCAATGTACGAACGTGCCGAGTGTCTGTCTTGTAAACTTACAGTTCGACTTGTGGCCTCAGTTCCGTACTTCAAAACAACCCTTCGCTTGTGAACGACCCGATGTTTGGTTAAACCTGAACAGGTTTAACTTGCTTCATGACAGTGTTAAACGGTGTAATACTCCAGAATAGCCAGTTCAAAACATCGAAACTCTCCATAAAGCGCAATCTATGTACACTCAATATCTCGGAAATGAAGTGGGAGTGGCCGCGTACTTCTTCAAATCTGGCAGCGGCGTGCAAGTAGTTGTATCATGTGTTTGTACAATAGCAGGACGTGGTCATTTGTTACTAAATGAAATATCCACGAAAATGTATCTAGCTATGTTTAATGAGCTAGCGCTCTCCTAGTTTGTGATGTGGGTGCAGTAAAGAGAGCATCGCGAACACTTAGCGCCATTCCTGAGCAGTTTGAAGGCACATTCCACACGTTGGTAGCATAGACATCGTTACATGGACAAGAAGGAGGGCTTTCTTGGTCTCAGCTTCAGCCATCTTGCCTTTTTGGTCATGAAATTTAACTAAAGGAACGGTTTGCTGTGGATTATGAAAAAGCGTGCGACAGTTTTGTAGCGAAAAATCGCAAGATAAGGGGGGGGGTGATCATAAGGTGCAGAGCTACTCCAGAAGCACCTCCTCTTCCCCAGTGACTCCGTCTGTGAAGTCGCTTCCACATTCCGCCTTTGAGCGAAATACGGTATGCTGTCATTTCTGGAATTATAGGGTTCAATGTAAGGGGCCATTCTTCTACATGCACAGCTCCTTGAGACTAGATGAGAGACCTTGTTAGTGACGTTTGCGACTTTTTCTTTTGCACTTTCTCCTCACTGACGAGTCCTTTGGCAATTGTTCTCCCATGCTTCAACGCCACCGTCTGCGTTGTATCGCAGACAGTTCCCATGAAAATGGTCACTGGCTTCAATTCCCTACCCAGGCCATCACTGCAAGTACTCCAGCAGTATACCTTCGTGTGGCTGTTCATGTTCTCTTTTCAATACCTAAATAGCTCCTTGGAACTACAGTCTGACATTTTTGCGGCCGCTCGATGGTTTCTCTTTTCGTTCGCCGCTTTTTAATTATTCGTTCTCATGAATCGATGGGACTGTTGCAAGACTCCTGGCTCACCTAGCCTGACTTCAAATTTGGGGCAGCCCATACGAGATAGGCAGCGTTCAGACTTCGCGATGACGCGCGTTGGCGTACTGCAGTTGCGACAGCGCTGCAATCCTACAAAAGAGGACGCAGCAGGCGGCGCTGCTCAATCACGCAGAGCGGCGCCGGCGGAGCCGATTAACTAACGTCTGCGGCTGCATTCGCGTCTGTAAGACTGGAGCGCTGTTGCAATCGTTGCGCGTTGGTGTTGCAATTGTACCGCGCTGGCGCGCGTTACAGCACATTACAGTGTGACAACGCGCGTCATCGCGAAGTCTGAACGCTGGCTCACGATGCCAAATGGTACTAAGAAACAAACTTGCCTGTTCTCATTTAGCGACTCGAGGTGAATTCATAGTCACAGTCCCTACAAACAATAGGGCGGGAGCGTTTGATGGGGCGCTCACTGAACGGCAGTCAACTCTGCCTTTCCCACCAATGATGCCTGAGTCTGCAAGGATTTCCGGGAAAGGCCGCTCCGGCTGAGTCTAGCTTACGACTCATCACACGCCCTATCTCTCGCAGGGAATATTACAGTATCTAGTGGCGAACATTTATATTTTCGGAATTTTAGGGAAATTCACTCATAATAAAAATAATGAAGTAATGTTAACTCACAACTACGGTTCCGCAGATAATACGATTAGGAAGTTCATCATTGATTGTGACATGAGCGGAGAGTACATGATGTTTTGGCTTTAGTCCAAACCGTCCGTGGTCAAATCTGAAGGTCTGATATGATCCAGCACGAACACTACTGGTGGACGTCTGATCACCCATTGGAGTACATAACTGAGGGGGGAAGGCATTTAACCCCCC